GTGTTACAAACTGCTCATACAGAATAACCTTGTTTATTGCAGTAAGACAATCTGTGATTGAGTTAGAAGGGAGAGTTGTGAGAATGCAATTCATATGTAGAATGTGCTGTGAGTCTCTGATACAGAAGAGAAACCTGCATCTACCTATTTACATAACTTTAATCAGATTATGGTTACCGCATAGGTAAAGTTGTTGTTAATCACCATAGTGAATGCACACCAAACATACTACCAATAAATGCTTTGTATTTGTTTGTTGGCACACTTGTTATAACATACGTACTTTGCACATGAATGGCTACACAGCTGTCAAGAGAATAACACAGTACAGTATGTTTCCAAGATTGGGGTTTACATGTGTTTCTACTTCTAATAGCACAAACACTCCTCTGTGAATGTAATCTGCCATCTATTTATTGACTGATGACAAACAGAATATGCATCAATTCTGCAGCTTAAACTTATACATAACCAATTCAATAATTATTCTTATCATAAAATTAATATTTTTATTAAATACCTAATTCCAAGTCATGCATATACAATTTTCTATTTTTCATTAATACATGTCATTGTTCTATACCTATCAATAAATGAATTATGATATTACTAGAATTACACTTACTCTAGTCATGGTAATGTACGAAACTTTTATTAATAGCGCCCCCAATTTATCTTATCAAAATATAGAGGGCGCCATTTCTGCCATGGAAACTGTACCCAAGTTTATTTACAGGCTACCGTACATCAAAAAAGATAACATACAATTGAAGCAAAAAATTACAAATTAAAAAAAAAAGTCTAATCAAGGTAAAGAGTAAACACTATGAAAATTGTGAAAATCTTATTTTTTTTTTACTGAAAAATTCATAAAAATTTTTAACATTATAATAAGGCATGTACTGTAAAGTGGATTCAAATTATATGACTTGAATCATCCCATTGGTTGATAGAAGTCACTATTGAATGAAAGTCTCCCTAACTTACAGCGCCACATTCACACATTTAAATTTTGTGTCGAATGGAACCCACATTGAACATGCTGTATGTGGTATGACAACTCAATTAAAGTGTGGGTGGTTGCCATGGCAACTGTTTGCATTTAAATTTGGAGCAAATAAATAATGCATATGCATGTATATGCAGTTACAATGCCTAGTATAACAGCCATACTGAACGCACATAGTTGCGACGACCACCACCATTTACTTACTTTGTCAATTTAAGATTAAATCTAAGTTCATTCCAATGGTTATTGTCATTATGCTCCATGTGGACAGAGACACTGCGGTTAACCCTCATTATTGAAAAGTTACAAATATTTGATCTCGAAACTCAAAGCATTCAGTTCTGATCCATAATAGTGTCCTACAATAATGGTGTAAATACAAAATTCATCTTTACAAATTATATCGCCCAAAATAGACCAATAAGAAATTACCGAGAGGCAGCAAAATGGCAAAAACAGCACCTTATTAAATCTTAACCAGCATTCACAAAGTTCAAAAAAGTATTTATATTATTACTACTAGAACATTTTAATCAAATGGTTGCTTATTTATGTATATGTTAAATTCTGAAATGATTGGTGCTCTGGTGGTAACTAATGGCAACTAAATTCTCCATATTCTGAATCAATTGGATTCTTGATCTAATTGATATTTAAATCTAAACAGCTCTTGTCTTCATAAAACATATCAGTTTTCAGCCCAGAAAATAAAAGAGATGTGCACACAAGTTTTTTTTATTTTATAACTATCATGAAAATTGCGGTTTTCGATTAATTTTGACAATTACATTTTTCTTCAGTTTTTTATTGAAAATTCTGACAATACACTTTACACAAATTTCAATATTATTGAATTTTCTGTCAAAAAAATCTTTAGAAGGTATCATAGTTGAAATTTGGATTTTGAGGTCACCACTCTTTCTATCTTTCTCCATCAGATTGAAAAGCAATTTGTTTACAACATTTTTTTAGAGGGTCTAAAAGGGCATAGAGTACATTTGTAAGTAGGGCTCAGACTGATGGTTACATCTTTCCATCTTTTGGTGTATTTAATTATCGAGGTAATACGAAATGTATTTCCATAGAAGAGGTATAGGTGAGGTGCTGCCATAGGAGTGGTATGGGAGAAATATTCTCATAGGAGAGCTATGGGAGAAGTTCTGTCATAGGAATGATAGGGGGGAAAAGTGTTCTTATAGGAAAGGTTTGGGAGAAGTGTTCCCTTTGGAAAGGTATGGAAAAAATACTTCCACTGCATTGATATAGAGAAGTACTCCTACAGAAAAGTTATGATAAAAGTACTCCCATAACAAAAGTAGGAAATAGTTACATAGAAAAGGTATGGATGAAGTATTTTTATGACTTTGTATGCAATTAAATTTACCAAGTAAGAAGTAAACTTGGATTGAAAACACCAAATACATCATACATTTATATGTACCATTTGTTTGATTTTTTGTTGCTTGGATTCATCTTATTTTTTTTGGCTACCTTTACTACCTCATTTTGCTTAAGGCATTTAACCAGTGAATGCATAAATCATGAGTAGCTACCGGTAATACAAGCTCAGCACAAGGAACTGTAGTATCAAAAACATGGCATTTGTTTAATGAGGTAGCTATGCGTAGTATACTATCATTCTCAAATAAAAATAATCCCATCACTCATACCACAGGTATCCTCTACCACTAAATAACAAAAACAGTTATAAACAAAAGAAAAAAGACAACAACTCTGAAATAGTTTGTGATGTATCCTACTTTGTTTCTGTTTAACAGATTACAATTATATGAAAACCCTCTTATGGGTGGAAGATAAGGGATTTGTTAGTTCACGACTATCAACTTATATATGCAAGTAATCACTTGGCATGTGTAGTATTATTGCTCTAATTTGAACACCCTGTTCCATCACTGGTGATTGCAAAAGGGCTGTGTGACCAAATACTGAATCATCTATCATTAAAAGACTTTATACAACGTCAAAGAAATACGTGTATTAAATCACCTGACATCCGGCTTTTCCAAAATGTTTAATCAATTGATCAGTTTTTAATGTGAGGCACGGATGTGGTTTTACAAGTCAGTACATTTGATATGACAGTAATGCCAAACGATTGTTACTTTTAAATATTGAAAAATGTGAATATAAACCATTTAATTTTCAATGTTAGAAACGTTTGTGATACGAGGATGTTACGGTAAAACATCGCAAAAGTCACTGAGATGCTGATTTTCACTGACTCAGAAAATTTGTAAAATCAAAGTGGTTTACAATTGACAAATGTGAATATTGACAAATGTGAATATTTACAAATGTGAATATTAATAAATGTAAATACATGTATCAACAAATGAGAATATCGACAAATGTGAATATTGACAAATTTGAGTATCAACAAATGTCAATATTGACAAATGTGAATATCGACAAAAGTGAATATTGACAAATTTGAGTATCAACAAATGTCAATATTGACAAATGTGAATATCGACAAATGTGAATATTGACAAATAATATCAACAAATGTGAATATGACAAATGTGAATATAGACAAATGTGAATATTGACAAATTTGAGTATCAACAAATGTCAATATTGACAAATGTTAATATGACAAATGTGAATATTGACAAATGTGAAGATCGACAATGTGAATATTGACAAATTTGAGTATCAACAAATGTGAATATTGACAAATGTGAATATTGACAAATAATGTTGACAAATGTGAATATTGACAAATGTGAATATTGACAAATGTGAATATCAACAAATGAGAATATCGACAAAAGTGAATATTGACAAATAATGTTGACAAATGTGAATATTGACAAATAATGCCAACAAATAGGAATATTGACAAATGTGAAGATCGACAAATGTGAATATTGACAAATGTGAATATCAACAAATGAGAGTATCGACAAATGTGAATATTGACAAATAATGTTGACAAATGTGAATATTGACAAATGTGAATATTGACAAATG